AGAATTATGAATGCCTCATCCAAAGGCAGATTTCTGACAGCTCTTGCACCTCAGTGGTCACAAAATCCAAGCAAAAAGCTTAAAGCCATCATGCATTGTATTGTTCGTTAATAAGAAGGAGTCTGTCTATCATTTTCATTAGGGTTTTTCACTTGTTTTCCCTTAAGAACAGCTTTACCAAGACAGCCATTTTCATGCATAGTGAATTGACAGAAAAGCAAAGGACATCTCCCCATTATGTTTTCCACTTGACTTTCATTCCTCCATCTTTTTCTTCAATGCTACCACGAAGTCCTACTGTAGTAAGGGACAAAAAAATAAGATTAAAACATCTATGATCTCTCACCCCAACTATGTGTAACACTGTGGCATTTTCAGATCACTGCTGGCTTCCCCTGAAAACTTGCTAAATTGGTTCCTCTGAAACAATGGCAACTAGATAACCAACTAGAACTTCAAATTATGCTCATGATGTTGAGATACTGAAAAATTCGGCCTTTCAAAGGCTCCATCTAGCTGCCTGAAACAAAATGCTGCCCCGAATAAACTCATTATATCTAGAATACACACTGTTCCATGCTAGGGAAAGAATCTAACCAATTAAACACAATATCAAAATAAAATAAAAGATAATTTGAGCAAGCCCAAAAGACACTGCACATTAAAAATAACTTGGTACTGTGAGGAATCTTAAGTTGTCTCTCTACATCTGTGTATATAAGAACTGAGGGCAAACACAGCTGCAGAATGTGGTCCAAATTCCAAAATTCATTCCCAGCTTTGACTAATTCAGTCACGAGGCACACTATAAATACTACTGTTCACCAAACAGGTGCATTAGGATGCAGTCTTTATATTGCTTAAAATAAAAATTAAAGTCTTAAAGTCTTAAGCCCACAGTACCTGGAGGAAACTCCTAGGTAAGTTTATTTTGAGAAGAGTTATTTTGGCTTTCTGTAACTCAAAGAAATTACAGACTCCTGGCTTGCATAACAACAGCGTACCTACTTGATTCTTTTTTGCTGTGGTTCTATAAATAAGAGAATTCCACAACACTGAATCCCTCTCTCTCTCGAAGATATATTGCAATCTGTTCTTAAGAGTGCTGATCCAACTTTCAAATTCATAGAAACTAACCGTCAGTACAACTGGATGCTGAAGAGATGCAGTTGCATAGAAGTCTAAATACACAAATACTCACAGGCATCAGGATTATTCATTGAGATTATTAGCACACACACAAAAAAAAAATGTTGGATCGGATGCTTGAAATGCAAAGTGGGTCAATACTTCACTCAGATAGAAATGAGTGGGTGCTGATTCTGAATACTCTGTCCCAGCCAATTTTAGGCACACACCTCCTGTTCACATTTTAGAAAGATGGAAAAAAACAACAGCAAGGCTTCGTCACAGTAATAATTCAGATTTAGAGTTCTTTTTACATGACAAGAGTTAAATGTAAAAAAAAAAACAAAAAAAAAACAAAAAACAAAAAAACAAGGTAGTGCTATGCTAAGCGTTGCCACAAAAATCCCAGAAGAGGCGTTTCTAAAGGGCATTCCTCAAATCTAAGCTAGGTGTCTAATCACAGTATTCTCAGCTGCTCTTAAAGAAAGATGTCTGAACTTCCGAAGTTTTAAAAAAAAAAGAAAAAGAAAAAGACTAAAAAGACAAAAAACAAACAAACAAACAAGAAAACCTACAACATGCACACACACAAGAAAAACCACCACAGGATAAGCCAGACTCATGGCACTCAACAGAATGCAGGGAGTTAGCTTAAGACCATACTGTCAGTTCTAAAGGTGCGCACACAGTCTAGGTCATGCAGAACTTCACCTATAGGTTCACAAGGAAATTTACCTGGAAAATCCTTCAGCACCTGCGACGGGAAATGGCAGCTAAATTTTGAAGTAGAGGATCTATGTTCAATGAGGAGATGGGGCTGAATTATACAAGTCGTTTTGACACAATCTAAGATGCACACACTAATTCCCACCCACCTTCCTTCCTACCTTTAAGCCATAAATAAGAATGTAACTAGTAAAAATGCTTGGAGTCAAAAGTGAATGTGTGTTACCATTCATAGCTGAGAGGATTGAACTTGTACTATTTGGTATCAGGTACTGGTAGTCTGCAGGAGACTGATGGCTGCTGAGTCAGCCCAAGCTCGTTAACTCCTTCTCCAGAATCACACAATCACAGCACAGCTGAGGTTGGCAGAGACTTTGGATCCATCTGACCCAAGCAGCAACACCCAGAGCAGGGGGCCCAGGACCCCCATCCAGATGGCTTTTGAAGGAGGAGAGCCTCTCTGGGCAGCCTGTGCCAGTGCTCTGTCACTTGTCAGGTTACTCCTACCTTTCTAAGGAGGCCCTTCTTGCATCGTACTAACTCTTCTACAATTCTCTTTCACACCAATCAGAAAGACAATTTAAGTTTCAAATCATACAACAATTCAGTGAAGAAATAAAACTGTATTCATCTGCACAATACAGCATTGGTGAAAAAAAAGATGAAGTCCAAAATGTCCTCAGACAGATACCACCGGTTAATGAAGTACAAAAAGCCACAACAATGATAACAGAAGGCCACTAGTATGGGCCAAGAAACACTATCAGAAGAGCTGCAAACTACTGGAGAACAACTGACTAGTAACTAATGGCATTTACCACTACTGACTGTAATGCAGAGGAATTACACTTCATTACCAGAACACCACCCAGTCCTTCAGCCACCAGCTAACTGCCTGCATAACCATCTAAGATGTAAGATGTTAAGTTCTCCTGATTCCTAATCATTCATTTATGCAAGTATGCAATATGATCTGTTTATGCATCACCATCCTTGCTTTCACTTCAAAAAGTCTTCACGTTTTCTCTTCACATTTTTCTTTCCTGTGATTGCCCTCAATTACCCAATGCTGTTTTATATGTTCCCTGAAATGTTGGCTTGAAGCACGTACATTGAGCAATTGCAATCACTACCTACTCAGCAAATAACATGGCAGAAAACAATCCAAGTCTACTCTGATCCAACATGTATGTGGAAATAAATACTCTGCAAAAAAAGATGGCTGTCATCTATAACAACTGATGATTAATTAGCATCAAAGCCAAAAGTGGTGGAAGAAAATGCTGGCTCTTTCTGAATGAAAGATGAAACACAGGTCTCCTCACTCAGTGTACCAGAACTTTTACAGATACGAAGAACTGATGTGTTAAGGAATATAACTGACAGTGAGCAGTGCAATGCATATATAATAGAAATACTAACATAGAGTGTGAAGTTCAATCCATGCATTGGATTTGATCTTATCAACTTCAGAAACAGTATTTCCCTTACTAAGAGTTACAAGATCAAGCACATAAAAAAAAAAGTTGAGAATATAAAGTACATCAAAGTGATAAATACACATAGCTGTTAACTGACATTAGGAAGCAGAAGAGACAAGAATTATGATCCTTTTCTTCCTAGCGTTACAGACTAAAATAACTTTCAACAGCTGCATGAATGCTTCAGCCTTATTTCTTAAATCCACTCACTATACTGAGGTCTAAGTGGATTCTGCACCTCAAAAATAAATCTCTTCCTGGTATTGAGGAGCACAGTAACAACCTGTGGACAGCCTGCAAGGTTTAAGGGACATGAAGAGCCTTCCACAGACTCTTGCCACAACGAGCACCTTACAGCACAGTGACTAGTGAAACACCGAGCAATATATGAAATGCTGTAAAAAGCACAACTTCTTTATTTTTTCTCTGCCTTTGGTAACTAAAGCATCCTGTTATAACAACAGAAACGAGCAACTTACACTATTGAGAAACTAGGTTACAGCACAGAAGAGTAATGTCAAGTAACTAGCTTGAATTTTAATGTGTAGAATAACGTTAACTGATGAACATTTAGAAGAAAATTACAGCTGTCAAGGGCCCAACTTCTCAGCAGCCCCAGGGCACTCAACTCCCATCATAATATGCACAAGTCTGTTACCTACATAGCAAGTGCCTCAACTGGAACGTCCTTTATTCAGAAATTGGACAGCACAAATGGTTCAGTTTCTATGAATTCTCAAACTACAAAACTCACAAACAGTTCTCTGGTATCCACTTACAGTTTGATCAAATAGGAATTTATTTAGTGCACTTCTGACAGCTAATCAACACAGCCCCGGTCCATGCAAAATATAAAACCTAACCAGGAGATAGCAGTTCTCAAAAAAAACTAGACCCCCTCTTGTGAAGGGCGGCCCAAGCATGTACTGGAGACAGGCTATCCTCCCCACTATTTTCTCTGTACTGATAAACCAGCATAGAAGAGATTTCATGTGTAGTAGGTTTGACTGAGCGCAAGCCAAATACCAAAGAAGGAAGACTTGCACCTTGGAATAATACCGACAGAGTGTAACACATGTGCATTTAGATGTAAAAAGCTGCACGAGAAACAAGATGATAAATGGTAATAGTCGTGATTGCTCAGGTACCCTTTTAAATTCTAAGCACCCATAGCTCATGCACAGAAATAGTACAGCACCCACATCTGCACATCTACAGATCCAAGGGAGCGCATCTTTTTAACGCTAAGGAGAACCTACAGCAAAAATAACGTTCCCGACTGTGGGACTGAGAACGAAAACGTCAGGAACACCATCGCCACAGACTTTTCGCAGGACAGCTGCACTCCCAAGCGCGGAGGGCGGGTTTCCTGGGAAGGAGGCGGCCAGGTCTCCCTTCTCGCCAGGTCTCCCTCCCTCCCTTCCTCGAGGGGGGTCAGCAGCGCGGCTCTCGGGGCACCGACCCTCGCAGCTCCGGGCTGTCTCCGTACAGACACGAAGGCGAGGGGCTGCGCTGGGCCCGGGATGCGGAGGAGGCACACGTGCGCGGCGGGCAGCGGGTGCCCCGAGCCCCGCTCCCTCCCGGCCGGACACACGACTCGTGCCGGCGCTCGGCGGCCACGGCCTCCCAGAGGAGCCGCCCCCAACGCGGAGGAGCGCGCCTTACCTCGAAGAGAGGACCGATCTTATTCTTCTCCAGGTAGGCTTGGATCCTGGTTTGCTGGTGAGACGCCATGAAGCGCTCCGGAGGTGGGAGCTGGAGCTCCTCTTCCCCGGCGGCGGCTGCTCCCGGCTGCTCCCCCGCCGCCCAAGGGCTGCCACGGCGGGAGCGGGGACGGCGCTGCGATGGGGCGGCAGCAGCCCGAAGTGCCCGGGACGGAGCGAACTCGGGGAGCGGGGGCGGGCAGCCGGCTGCCAGGCGGCGGCGGGCTCCGTCCCCTCAGGGAGCGGCGTGCAGGCGCTGCCTGGAACACAGCATGGTGCAGGAGGGAAAGAGCTGCAAAGGCGGCCCCGAGTCTGCTCCGCTCCGCACTGTGCGTGTGTGTGTGCGCGCCTGACAGCGCCTTGGTTACGGGAACAGCCGCGGCTCCGAGCTGCCGCCCTCGCCACAGCGCCGCGCCCCGAGCCGCCGGCCGGGGGCTCCTGCCAGCGCGGCCGCTGGCGCCCGGGCTCCGCGCTGAAAAGGCGGGAGCGGGGGAAGGGGAGGAGAGCGAGCGGGCGGGCGGGAGGCGGGGGCGGCTCTGCTCGCTCTCTTTGCCAGTCAGCCCTGTAGGTCAGCCCCGAGGCGAAAAGTTGGCGGGTCGGGGGCGAGTCCCTGCGGCGGCCCGGCTGCCCTGAGGGGAAGTTCCACGGGCTGAGTGTCCAGCGGCACGGAGGAGCCGCTCACGGAGCTGGTGGAAAGGGTGTGGGGACGATAGCCAACACTTTCCCTTCTTTTTTCTGTTATCCTAAAATCTTGAAGCACTGCGTTTCTCACAATACCGATGGCATTCCCAATTAGCTGTACGGAGGATCTTAATAAAACGGTTGAAGTGCCCAAGCGGACAGATGCTCCCTGGTTGCAAGTTGTGTCAGTTCCCTCTGGTAGCCAAAGGGCTCTGATCCAAAACCCCACGAAGTAAATGAGAAGCGTCCAGCTAGCTTCAGGCTGCAGCAAGTCAGTGGCTACACCAGTATGTATTCCTTCAAGTAATTAGTTCCCCCACCTTTCCTAGAGCACGGTCATAAACAGCTTTTTTTCCCCCTTCTCTATAGAGAAGAACAAACAAAAATATGCTTATAGGATTTGACACTTGTGTTCTTCCTGCAATAACTGATTCTGCTGTACCAGCATTTACCTGATTTAAAAAAATAAAATAAAGAGTAGAAAAGGTGTATCTTATATTTTCATGATATTTCTTTTAAAAGCTTGAAACAGCTGTGGGGAGAGCTCACGTCTCAGCACATCTGCTGAATCAGATCACGCTGTGCTCTGCAAATGCTCAAGTACAGCCTCCCCAGATCGAGAGCTGCAAAAGAAGGATGACTTCAGTCCGGAGTCAAAGGAACATGAGTGCTGCTCGCACAGTCACTGACTGTTGTTTGACTTCAAAGTTCTCCTAACTGACCTAAAACTTCTGCCTCTACCTAGGAGGAGGTCAGGTGTGAGTCTGTGTGATAAAGATAGCTTACTGCATACTCTGTAACATAGGCAAAAGCTTGTAAAATCCTTTAACAGTTTGTCTGGAACATGCTCAGTTTCACTATTCATCCCAGTCCCAATGAGGCAGTTTTTGTTTTCTTTAGTAGCCACTAAAAATACTTTTTTTTTTTTTTTTTTTTTTTTTTGGGTTTTTAATCTGCTGCTAGCAAATCTTCTATGATTCATATCAGCTCAAAGTTTTAGCATATCATCTCCAGAAAGGGCAGCTACTTCACCTGGTGCCACTGAAATAACATCATGCTAAGCTAGTTTAATCAGCCTAATGAGTATCACAGTTATAAGGATTATTACCAGTGATGCAGGTTCTCTATAATGCCTCTAATTATTCCTGTCAAATGAAAATGTTTTTAAGGCTTCACAAGTTTCCGGCAGGTAGCTCTCCCACTTTGCAAAGCAATGCCTCCTTCCAATGATCTAAAAAGGAGAACAAGGAGAATGTATGTTTCTATAGCCATACACATCCTGACTTTTCAAAGCAGTAGTACTTCAGACCTGACCACACCAGCAACTCTGAGCTATCACTGTTCTACAGAAACCAACAAAAGACAGAAAAAAAGAAACAAGACTATCAACAGTACAACTAGGAAAGAGGACTTATCAAAGGAGATTTTGAAGACAGTAGAACTGTCTGCCATTGCATGTTGTGCAATAGAATAGGATCTCAGTGTTAAAACTTCAGTTTTTTTTTGTTGGTTGGTTGGTTTTTGGTTTTGTTTTGTTTTCATAAAACCACTGAATGGCTGAGATTGGAAGGAACCTGTGGAGGTCACCTGGTCCATTCCTCTTGCTGAAGCAGGGCCATCCAGAGCCAGTTGCTCAGGACTATGTCCAGGTGGCTTTTCACCATCTCCAAGGACAGTGCATCTTTCTGATACCTATTTTGCTCTGTTTCCTCAGATATGTAACATAGACTTTGCAGGTGATTTGTGAGACACTAGCAATGCTGCTGAGAAATCTTCAAAAGGCAAACAAAGAACTCATTTTCCAAACAGACACACTTCTTAATTCCACAGTTCCTGTAACAATTACGGGATAGGTGATTCTTTGATATGGATTACGCACTTGTGGGAGACATGCGCACAGACAGCTCTTTACCAAGAGCTTTGTGTTCTTGTTTTCTGGTTCAAGGTCTCCAGCAGCTCTCTAACAGAGAGCTCTGAGTGCTGAAGGATGGGAGTGCAGATGTCTCCTGCAGAGAGCACAGACTCAGTGACATGATGGAGTAGGAAAAGAAACCTCACTGTTGGCATTTTTTACTCTAATGTCATTATAGCCCAGTTGTGGCATATAGTTGCTGTACTGTATTGTCCTATGATCCCTGTTTCATTTTTTAGATATTATTTGCTAAAGCCAAACAACATTTACTCGTAGGAACATATTTGGTATAAAAAGCAGTATCCAGCTTGCACATCTATATAATGCTCTGGACTGAACCGTAGGAACAGTAACAACTGCAAGAATTTGCACGCAGACTTAAAAAAAATGTAAGTTGTCCTGATTTCAAGTCATATGCACCACAGAAGTGAAAACCATAAGGTAAAAAAACCATGGAGAGACCAAAAAAAAAAACAAGCTAATTTTAAGATGCTTATGAAGGCTCCAGTTTTTATCCTTTGTCTTCCCCATAATATCTGAGATTTGTGCATATTAACTATTGTTTTCTCATCCTGTCTTCATCAGTGGAAGAAGAGTGTGCACGATGTGTTCTGATTGGTTGCTTTTTATTTGAGTTACTTAGCTCAAGCAGGGTCCCATTAAGTAATTCTATAGTATACATAATTTCAGTCATGTCATCTATTTTTCATGAATAAGATTGCCGCAGTTCAGACACTGAGCAATAAATTTTCAGATTATGGGCACTCATGGTACTCACTGGGGTTAAAATACCCAGGCATTGCATGCAATAAAGGCACTCTTCAGGAGAATCAGAACTGCCACTGCCTAGCAGAAAAGGAAACTGATGACTTGGCTGTCTGTCACTCTGTGGTCACACATACTCAATGCCAAGTCAGCCATTTGCTCTCTGCTGGCTAAAATTTGATCCACGTGCTCTTTAGGAAGTTTATTTTTTTTTTTTTTTTTTTGAGATGGCATCTAAAGTGCAAGTTAGATTAATACCGAAGATAAATTTATAGTAGCAATATTTGAGTTTATTACAGACCTTTACACAGCATTGTAGTTCCCAATAAGTGTTTCTATGCTTCAACAATCAAAAATTGTTGCTTGAAATTTCTTAACATTCCTTCAAAAAAACAAATGAGGAAAAAACAACAACATAGCAGGCAGCTGGTGGTATTTTCTTTAAAAAAGCTTTCAATTTGTCAATGTTTCCTTTGAATGTAATAACTCCATAACAAAGAGTTCTTCCGTTTCTGTGGTGTGTTTCTATTGAATTTGGTATTCTATACAAAGTTATTATCTACTTCACTAAGAGCAATGAGAGCCATTAGTCAACAGATAACTAAATATAGTTCTCATTGTATGTTTGTGCTTTAAAAATGCAACTGAAATTACCTTCGGGAAAATAAAAATCCCTCAGTTCCTGCACCTTATACACAAGGCAGTATTTTTTATGGCTAAAGCACAGCCTTGGAACTTTACAAACCCCTGTTGTAAAATTTTCTGAAACAGCATACACACACACTGGCTGAATACTGCAGTGCTTCAAGCTGTTTAAAATAATGGAGGTCTAGCAGTTCCTGACCTAGAAAGCTTCCATCTAGCTTTTTATTTAGTTATTCTCCTAAAAATGGATCTGCTCAGATAGTATGTTGTCAAAAGAAATTGAAGCATCTTAGTTTGTTGTACTGAAATATCCAATTTGCCTTTTATCCCATATCAAGTTAGCAGACAGAACTGGGAATAACGTCACTGGAAGGGTCATGCTAATGATTTTGTAGACTTAATCTTTTTTGGTGCATTTTTTTTAAACATGTTCAGTAGAAGATAATATCCCTAGTAGCATCAACTTGAATTTATACAACCCTGAATATCCATCCTATGTTTTTATATTCACACCCAGATAAGAGCCATGCAACTTTAAAATCCATGCTGGATTCACTGTAAAAAAAAAAGATCACCATTCTCCTTGAACATTCGACCTGCCTAAGTTTTCAGTATTTTGGCCATTATTAATGGTGATCTTGGCCACAAAAACTCAACTTCTGTGATAAAACATTCCTATTCCCTGCAGGTAGGTCTGGAACACTTGGGAACATAAAAGCTTGCTTTATCCGCAGGCTCTCAATGGGGACAAGAGCAAATCACTAAAATCCTGGATTAAGAAGCCCACACTGTGCTTTAGGATGAGTGACTATCTCTCTAACTTGTCTTATTCTCAGACATATTGTGTAATTTGTTTTCATTCTTCATGTTCACCTTCCTGTTTTCAGTATCTTGTTTAGGAATGCCCTTCTCTCATCTTATTTAGAGACAAATGCATTTAAACGTCAAAAAAATTACTTACCTTATTATTAACCCAACCATTAACAGAAATCATTACCCTATGAAGAGATTTTTATCCATGTTTAGCATTTTTATAGTTGCTTCCTTCTGTTTGGCTACTCATAACCATAACACATAAGTAAAAGGAATAGCAGCACTACTAGAGCACGCTGGTCATAGGGCAGGACCCAATTGTATGTTAATCACAGAATGGCTTGGGTTAGAAGGGACCTTACAGACCATCTTGTTCCAACCCCTCCTGGCATGGGCAGGGATTCCAAAATGTTAAATGTGCTCCAAGGACAGATCTGCTCTAAGATTTCACAGTTTAAGCGTGGGAGACTACGGGCAGGCATTGTAAGGAAGCCAACTTAGCTGACAAGGCTGCTAAGGAGGGCTCTCAGTACCAGCATAAAGGCAGATAGACCAGATCATATTCAGCAACACTCAGGGACTGAAATAATTAAATAAAAGATTTATAGCACCAGCTGCCAGTTACC